ACCAGGACCAGGATTACGCAGCACCTGGATCAGTTGCTACTGTAACTGGATGGGGTTTAAATGACGATATGGTTTTGCCTGAACATTTACAAACACTTGACATACCGGTGCTCGATAGGGCTACTTGTATTAAGGATTATAAGTCTAGTATTACTGATTATATGTTTTGTGCTGGATACGATGAGGGTAAACGGGACTCCTGTACTGTATGTATTGCTGTACTATTTTGCCTGGATAATTACAAAAACGTACTAAACTTAATAATGTAAATTTTGTAACAAGGGTGATTCAGGTGGTCCACTAAAATATAATAATACCCTGATCGGAGTGGTATCGTGGGGTGCTGGCTGTGCCGCACCACACTACCCTGGTGTTTATACCCGTGTGGGCAAGTTTAGAGATTGGATCAAGGAACATTCTGGAATTTAATGTATTACAACGTAAATTGTAATTGGAAAAGTTTATTATTAATTTTATTTACTGCCTGTTAATAATTTTGTATTATTTTTAATAATTAAGGAATTAATGTAGATTAATTAATTATTTGTTTATAAATTATTTCTTTTTTAAATAAACTGTGTCCTCATAAAATATTTGTATTTATTTTTGAAAAATTAAAATATTATTTTTAATATAATAATTCGGTGTGTTTTAGGAGTGTTAATAATATTAATTATCAAAATTAGTCAATACGTTATAATTTCTCCGAAGTACTAATTAAAAGTATGATTGATAACAGGCACATTTTCATGAACATAACACTTAAACCTTACGATTATTTCTAAATCATAAGAGTATTTAGATAATGTAAATAATATATAAAGTCCTTAAAATTAATTTAATATTAATACACATGCTGTATGTAATTCTGCGAAGTAAACTTGATTTATTCTCAAAGTGGCCAAAACTAGCCTATACTCTATATCAGACTCCTCAAAGATAGGCTCCTTGGAGCCTAATTCTTACACGTTTTTAATATCCTTCATATGTTTGGCTCACAAATATAGTACACATTAGTGTCAGTGAGAGTTATAAAGTATTAACTTGAAATTATAAACTGTAATTTTTAAATAAATCATTTATTTTAGTATTTATATGTCTAAAACATTAAATAACTCATAGAAATGTATTTTGTTAGTTTCTATTAGTTAAGTTTGTGAATATTTTTAAAACTCTTATTCTCCATTCAAAATCAATATAGAANTATAAACTGTAATTTTTAAATAAAGCATTTATTTTAGTATTTATATGTCTAAAACATTAAATAACTCATAGAAATGTATTTTGTTAGTTTCTATTAGTTAAGTTTGTGAATATTTTTAAAACTCTTATTCTCCATTCAAAATCAATATAGAAATGTCTGGAAATTGCACATATACAGGTTACTGTGAATAAGTAAAAATAGTAATGATATTTGTGTTTGTAAAGAACTTTATTTACTGATAATCTGTATGAAATAAATAAAATATGTAGTACGAATTTGTATTAAAAAATTATTTTTGAGGTCTCTGGCATACAGTGTTTAAAAGTGCATTAGTACAGTATTATAGTTGAGATAATTTTAATTTCATTAACAAATTTAATGTTATTATTATAAGTTTGAGAATGATATTGAGAAAATATGTTAGATTAAATTAGTTAATTGCAAAATGATAAAACAATTTTATAAAATTAAAATACAAAAATACTTATCACATATTAGATTAAAATATACCAGTAATGTTTTAGTTTATTATTTTTGGTTATTATGTAATAAATTTATACTATATATAGATTTGGGCATTAAATTATTTTTAAAAACCTTTCAAAATAATGAATATTCTCTAACTATGCCTTAAATATGTAGATTTCGCAACTACCGTATCAAGTTACTTTTAAAATATAAAACTATACTAATCAATGAATATTACAAAAATAAACTTTTTATAAATGTTTAATAAATTTTAATGATTGAATACAGATATTTAACTTTATAACCATGTATTTAAAATTACGAAAATTTAACAATTTTATAACAAATAATAATTTGCATTAATAGTTTATAACAAGTCAACAAAATAATTAATTTTTATTAATGTATTTGTAATTAATTTAAAATCGCTCTCATTTTCAAACAATTAGTTTTCATTTAAATGTATTCAAGTATTAATAGATATTTAAATTTTTAGTCGTAAAAACAAAATCAATTATATAAATATCCAGTTCATTCATTGTGTAGAAAAGTTGGAGTTTAACTAATTATTTGTAATATATTTTAAATACCAAAAAAGTCCCAAATTTTCAATAGTATTATAATTTGAACAGTTTAGTTGTACAACATAAAATGATCTTGAGCAATTTTGTAAATATTTACATTAAAATTGTCAATTATTTTAATTAATACACTATATTACCAGTGAATACAGTGCATAATACAAATTAGGATAGTGTGGTGTGTATTAAAAACAATTAATTTGGGCATTAGACGTACTCAATATAAAATAATATTTTATATAATAATATTAACTATAATAATAAAACAAAAACATAAAAATAACTTCACAAACAATTGTATGAATAAATAACAAATGAAATTTTGTTTTAATATAATCTGTGTGTTTTTAAAACATAGTGTTTTGATTCAAACAAGTATGAATAGCATCATAAAAATTTAATTTTTCAAGGTATTTCAATGGGATTATAAATTTAATTTGTGTGCAAACCCCGGTCATCGCTAACATTCAAATGTTTGTATAAATTTTAATTTTGTTATAATCAGTAGTCGTGTAAACAAAAGTGTAGTAGCATAATATTTGGCATTTTTTACTATGCTACCCATTTTAAAAATTATTAATGTATTATACTATTTTTGTAAGAGGTAAATATATTTCAACTTGGTGTTTTCAATAATATAAAAAAATTGGTGTTTAAATTAGCAAAACTTGAAATTTATTTCTTTTTCTTGTAGTCCTGGTAGGAGTGGGAGGTCTCCCTCCAGAGCTCGTAGTCGATCTCAGCCAAGGCATGACAGGGCACCTTAGGGTTGTGCTCCGACGGGAAAAACTGGGGGTTCACCTGAACCGAGTCGAAGTCATTGGTCTTGCACATCAAGTTGGCCAGGGATGAGGTCTGTCGGATGTTATTCAGTTGCTCTGGTAGTTTGCAAACAATTAGTTAACATTAGTGAACATTTAATAAGTTAATATAAGAATGAAACTGTAATAAAGTGTTTGAGACAAAGCTAATAGTAATATAAGAGTTGCCAAAATGTAAAATATGGAAACTTCTTGTAATGAAAAATATATTCAAAACTTATTTTTAAATTGTAATTATTTATAAAGCTAATTATTCATATTTACTTTTTTGTAAAATAAATTATATTTCATTCTTTTAGCATATTTCTCGCCTAGGAATTTAATTTGTATTTTTGTTACTATGCTAGGTAACTGAATTTCAACAACATTGCATTTACCTGTATGTAAATTATTATTTATAAACTAAACAATATGAGCTGGCAACTACATATAAACCATGAAACTATACATTCATAGCTCTAAAAACTTATAGTACTGTATGATTTTCAATAAATATATGCCTGGATACTTACTGCTATTAAATGAGCCAGCCTCGTGACCATGCTCAAAGTAGAATCGGTCGCCATACTTCCAGTGGTGGAACTGGATGCCATTGAGGCAGGCAAAAGTGGGCCCTAATATGGATCCAAACGCCTTGTTTTCGGACAGTCCGCCCACAAACAGATCGATATCTCCCACATCGCTATCAATACACCCATTAATTAGCATTTAATACACATTTTATACCACTTTTCGCATACTTATAGACACTCTTCAGTCGCTGGATCCTCGAGTCGGATATAAATTGTGTCAAATCGGACCACGACTTGATGGCCACGCCCGTGCAGTACTCCAAGTAGTATATATAACCGGCCACTCCGTGCTCCCGACCCCTGTTTATATTAATAGCCGACAAATCGATGACCGATGGCTGCGTGATAACCATCTTTCCATTAGTGGTGGTCCTCGGGTTGAAAAACAGGAAGTCCTTCACGTCGGTGACAATGAACGGGTCGACACTGTTCTCGGACTGACCCTCAATGAGACCCCGGAGTACACCCTGAGACTGAATACCATAATACATACATAGCATTAATACATTATTTACTCGAGACTACCGGTGCGCCACTCATTGACTTACATTTCCCAACCATATGTCGGACATCTCGAAGAACTTATTCCTCAGGAGGAAACTGTAGGACTGCTGGTGATAATTGTGTGGATTTTTGTTCAGGACATTAAATTGGCTAAAGATCTGCGAGTGGCCCATACGTAAGGCGGCCACGGCTACCGACTGGAGGGTGGAGGGGTCGATGTGGGGGTTGTATTGGGTGTAGCCGTCGTGCTTGAGGTTCAGTCCGAAGTACTCCATGAGCTTCTCGCCCAATATGGACGGCATATACTCTCCGTAATGTATTTTCGTGGTCTCCGCGATCAGTAGTCGCCTATACGAAGGGGAATGGCATTGAAATTAAGACAAATGTATTTTGAATTAATTTTTTGTTTTTGATGAAACATCAAGATCGTATCATGAGTTATATAAACAATAAAATTGTTTAGATTATTGTTATATAATATTTGTGTGTATTTATTTCGATTGTAATCACATTTTCAAGGGATTTCGATGAATTAACTTTTATGTAATAAGTTATGAATAAGTTATGTGTATTGCATATTTTTAGGGATTTTTGTAAAAAGTGATTAATATAAAAAATTTATTTACAAATAACAATAGCGTAAAGTTATGCAATATATTATTTATTAGGCTTTGAATATATGCGAGTAGATTAATGATTGTATATTTTTGAGGTATTGTTATAATAATTTAGACATTGAAAGTGTGTATATATTAATGAAAGTATATTATGTAAAAATATTTGTTTGTTTGAAAATAAACATAAGATTTCTCAAATGAATGGTGTGTTTAATGAGTAACAATAAGACAAGTCATTAGACACTTAGAAACGCTTATTACTATCGATCATAAAAAATTGTTTCATAACACAAAAAATCATTATTTTTTTGTTTAGTAGAGAAAACAAGGAGTTTTGCAAAATTTAGTCTAAATAGATGCCAAACAAATACAGTATACCTTAACCTCGAAATTGTTTTGTTTTTTATTTATATTAATCAAAAATAGTGATTCAGAAAAGTTTTTTTCAATTTTTTTGTTTGCAAAAAGCGTGCAAATGAGACAAAAAAGTTTTTATTTGTATTAAACGCTAGTGATCTAGGTCCACTCGTGAGTGGTTATCTGATCTGGTTTTTAATAATACAAAACTTTTTTAGGCATAAATGAGTTGAGATTTTTAAGGAAAGTTATGAATATACGCGTGAAATGTGCGCTAATATGATGGCAAACCCCTTGAGGTCACGGCCATAGGCATAGGTAGGTATAGTGAGGGAGGTATGGCCAGGTATTACAAACACAATGAAAATAATAGTAATCATATCAGAGCTGTTGATCGCAAATATAGGTTTTAAAAGTCAACGGGTTTTTGTTGAAAACAATTTATTATTTACTTTTGTGTATCAAATTTTTTTTAAACATACTTTCCTTGAATTTAATTTGGAAATGGATTTTAAAAACTATTTTTTTTATGAAACTGTAGACCATTTGATGAAAAAATTATACGCTTTTTATGTGTTTTCCGCTTTGTTAGCAAAATTCATGATATATTTTACGAAATATGATATTTTCATTTTAAATATATTTTATGGGCTTTTGGTATATAATCTTACAAAATATCCACTGATTATAATGCTATCCCTCTATCTCGACCTCCCGTTCCCCTCCCACTATCCCTGGAGTTAATAAAAAGTTATTTAAAAAGTACTTTAGCCTATCGTTAATCAATTAATTAGCTTTTAAAACTTAAATCCATTTTTAACAATAGGTTAGCGTTTTGTGAACACAAAAACATTATATACATTAAAAACAATAGAAATTTCACGGAAAAAATGTTGCAATTATTTATATATCATATGAAAAATATATATTTCACAACAGATCTCCAAAAAAATCAATTTTTTCAAAGTCTTTGTGAAGCGAAATAATACCACATTTTATTTATTGACACATTTTTTTCTCTCTAATTACGTCTAATCAGTTGATACGTAAAAAATATTGTATTTTTCCAAATAGTTTTCAAAAGTGATCCCTCTCACAAGCAAACCTCAATAATAAGTAATTATGTTTTCATATGCCTGTCATCTATATTGCCAATTATGCCGGTATACTTGCTAACTGGCTTACAATGTGTGTGTGCGTACGTTTGCCATGGATATTATCTAACAATTTAATAATTGAAGTAAACTTTTCATTTTTCTGAATCGCAAACCCATTACTTAATATCTGATTCAGTCATTCATAACCGACTTTTTAAGGCTAAGTATTCCCTATCCCCTCAAACAACACCATTACTCGCGATTAGCCATTGGGTCTCAAAAAACTTTGCGGTCTTTAAATGGTTTTCGTGTATTTCCCATATAAGTAATGAATACAAAAGTTTTTTGGATATAAAAAATCAAAAACACATAATCATTGAGAGTTAAATCAAATTATAATACTTTTTCTCATACAAACAATTACTATCGGATACCATGTGTGAGATATTTGCTAAACACATACAAACTACATAATAACGTAGCATTGTTTTGCATGTTACATGATAGCAAACATCTAATTAAGACATTATATTATGCATAATGATAACATACCTGGCCTCTTGGAACAGGGTCTCATCATCCCAATGGGGGTTGACATAAGCCAGGGCCTTTGCGTGTTGGTTATGCCGTTTTCTCATCATAATGTGTATTGAGTTAACACCGGGCTGTTGGTTACCCCTAATACCGTCGCCGGAGTGATAGCACGTGAGCTCCGGGTTATTCAAGGGCTCATTACAGGGGGTCAGGTCTAGAGTATCCTGCTCCTTTGGCAGTCGTCGCACCGGTAGGGTTTCGTTGCCATTGATATCCAACGAGCCTCTCATTTGTCCTAAATATCGGAGGGAAATGTCAAACAAAAAAAAGTTTATATAAAAAACAATAATTGCTTAGTATTTAGTCAATCATACCCTTAACGAAACTCCTGAGGGTTAATGTGTCATCGATTAGATTTCCGCCATAAAGGTTGGACAGATCGAGCACCTGGGTAGCCACGTTCAGCTGATCCCGGGGCCCTAATGGTCAGCATAATAGTAATATTTATTTTAGTATCAATTTTTGTATATTTCATTTTTTGGTATGTATGTAATTTTTTTTATCATACATTTTTATTGTAAGCATTAATTTTAATAAAAAAGTAAAATAATTTTTTAATTTTATAGTTTAGTTTTGAAATATTTCCAGCAATTGCTTTACCCTTAACTCGATTTGAATATTGATTATAAAATTTTTATTATATTTATTGGACTCATTATTTTATTTTATTTATATTTGCCTTATAATTTGAAAATTAAAATTCTTGAAACCCTTACAAATATACAAGACTTTAATTTTTAAAAATTCAATGATTATTATTGTGAGTCGCGATTTAGTGCTTTTTTGTATGTATAGCTTTTTTATATTCAATTTTATCAATCAATCATTTGTAGCATTAAGGATAAATGGGTATATAAAAAATAAATATTTAGCTTTTACTCCCTTACTAGCTATTTGCTTCTGTATTACTTTAATTATTAAGATTTTATGCTCAATATTACAAAATACTTATTATTTAAATTGTAATTTTACTTTTTACCGTAATTTTTAAATGGCATATTGATTACTAACCAATAGCTGACTACATACATACATTTAAATTAAATAAATAACTACACGATATTATGATCACTGGGAAAATACATAATTAATAAATCATGTATTCGCAAAAAATGATAAATAAATAATTAAATTGTTTTCCAACATACAATATAACTCATGATTTTGGACATAATACACAGTAATACTAATTACTTAATTGCCATACTTCATCATGAATGCTAAAAAATTACAATTCACTGAGTATTTCCACAAACTACTCATTCAAATGCTAAACATATTTCAATAAAATAATATATAGTATAAAAAATACACAAATTATGGTCAATCACCAAGCACATACCTAAACTACAGGTATTACATGAGGCCGATCGCACGGTATTAATACACTGTTGCTTATTGAAGGCTTGTGTGGCCTCGTCCTGAGGGAAGTTAGTTATGGGGGCGCACTCCGGGTGGACAGTCACATTAGGTATCAAGCAGCAATTAATAGCCAGGCCCAAATTCTGTATCGTCCTAAAGCTATCGTGAACCATGAACTGGCCCCACATCATGTTCATACCGGTCCTTTTCTTATCGGGCACCGGGATATCTGGCATAATAAACTCCGTTAGGAGTCTAGGACTGGGCAGCACCTGACCCTGCGTGCCAGCCCTGGGAATGTTGATACCATCAGCGAAGTCCGGGGGCAGTAGGCGCCGATGACAGTGGAAACTGGAGCCCCAGTTGGTGTTACGGAGGTTATTGCACCGGCCGTTCATGAGCCGGTACTTGTACTTAGCGTCGCACTGGATGTCGCTGGACGTGGGCTTATTCAGGTTACAGTACTCCTGGTTCTTGTTGCGGGGAACGCCTAATTTGGGCAAAACCGCTGCGGTTGGCCGTTCATGAGCCGGTACTTGTACTTAGCGTCGCACTGGATGTCGCTGGACGTGGGCTTATTCAGGTTACAGTACTCCTGGTTCTTGTTGCGGGGAACGCCTAATTTGGGCAAAACCGCTGCGGTGTCCAAACGACTGATACATTTCCTGTGAGTGTTTTGAGGAGTAATTAGTTTTTGTAGTATTTATTTAGTGATCAATGGTTTGGTGTTTGGAAGGGAATAGGATGTGATCTCAATGTTGGAGTTTTGAATGAAAAATAAGTTTTTAAGGTTTTAAGAAACAATAAGATAAGTCATGAATACAGGAGTTGTACTACAGGTGCTGTCTGTAAAAACAAGTGACTAAACAATGATTATTTCAATAATTAAGTCATTTGTTTGAGTTCATAGTTTATACTGGTAACATTATTCACTACTAAATAAGTTATATTTTATTATAAAACTATTTTAATTAAAGATATTAAATATTTATAATGATAATTTATTGAAATTGATATTTTATTATAATATGCAAATACATTTACTTTTACTGTTTAATAAGTTTTTAAAGCTTAATCTCTTAACTAAAGTAAAATTTATAACTTTTTTATTTTCAATAAAATAAATTCCTATTAAATTACTTTTTTGTCTAGATTTCTAAATTAATTCAAATATAAGATTGTAATTTTGTATAACAAAAAAATTGTCTGAAATTTTATTAATTTATTCGCTAATTATATTCAACTACATTTTTAACATGGATTAGAAATAATTAAAATTAGATTGCTATCTCTAAATAGTGGAATAGTTTTTTATTGTAACAAAAATAAAAGCTTTTTATTATCAAAAATACTTTTAATCCAATTTAAGAGCATTTTTTGCATGTTAATATTAAATTAATTTGTACATTGAGTTCATGAATACAAATAGGTTTATGAAGTTTATGTAAATTATATATAAATTTTATTATAAAACTTATTTATAAATGACTGTTTCGGAAGTCTATATAAATTTCGGTCACAATTTTTAAATTTAATAATAAAAATACATGTAATTTAATACTTTTTATTACGAGATAGCCCTCAAAAATATTTCAAAAAGTTTATTATCCCGATAAAGTACTCTAACACTTTTATCTGTTAGAAAAGTATTAAGTATATAAGTATAAGTATATAATCAGCACAGATAAAAGCAATTTAAATAACATTAAAAAAATAATATCTATATTATCTTTATCATTTAATTATGACTGAAATATAGCGGATATTATACGCAAAAGTATTTATTTAAGACAGTATTAAGTCATAGTCATCTAAAAATAGTCATTATATCTGTTATCAGACAAATGAAATGAAAATTTTTCTAATTAAAAGTTAAATGTCGCGAAATTACCGGATCATTTACTATCTAAAATAAAATAAAATTTAATTTTATATACAAAGGCCTAAAACTTTATGATGAGCTGAGAATCAGTAGTCAAACGGACTAATTGTATGCCAATTAATAAGACAATACATGATTTTATTTAATTTTTTGAAAGTCATTAATAT